GAACCGAATTGTGAAACGATACAAAGGTTTCATCATCAATGGATTTAGATTTCACACTAAATCGCGTGAAAAATTTAGAAGTACATAAAATTCAAGAGTTGTTGTGACTTCATCAACTATTAGCTATGCTAGTACTAGGGACATAAACCCTTGTGAGGAAAATGTTGACTATTATGGCATGATTAATGACATCATTGAGTTGGATTATTATGGCAAGTGGAAAGTTATCTTATTTCGGTGTGATTGGGCTGATGTAAATAGAACGGGGGTATTAAGAAAGATCAATATGGATTTACACTTGTGAATTTTTTTCGATTAATTCACATTGGACAACAACTCATCGATGAATCTTATGTTTTTTCATCTCAAGTCAAACAAGTATTTTACTCTGAAGATCCCAAAAAATTGGGTTGGTTTGTTATTTTTCAAAACACACCTAGAGACTTATTTGATATGAGGTTAGATACCAAAGATGATGTTGAGCATTAAGCTGAATGTTATCTTTTTGCTGAATAAAACTTGGATGAAAATATCTCTAGTACTTATGCTCAGTAGGTCCGTGAAGATGTTACTGAAGACATTTATAAACCATTAAATGGTGCATCTATAATTTGTAATTCGTGTACTTAAGACATAATGTAGTAAATGATTATATATAATTAATGTCACATTCGCTATTGGATAATTATTGTATTCTAAATTATACATTATCTTTTGATTTAATTAAATCGATATGTTCTTTATATATCGTAGGTTTTTATTTCTTAACTTCTCAATGTCTTTATATATGTTCTAAACTCATATCTTTTTTATATTCACTTTTATGATATAGGTAAGCTACAATGAGGAGGAGTAGGTTGAAAGGAAAACATATCAAAAATATTAGTTCAGAACCATCTGCGGCACCTGTAGATATTGGCTATGGACTGAATCTTTTAGAGGGAAATGAACGTGTTGTCGGATCTAAATCTATCATTTTTAACCTTTTAACTGATATTAGATCTAGCAATACGGGAGGTCCAAGTTTATATAGTACCCATCAATTGATTATGCTTTAAATTTGAATGCAGGTATGATATACCCTAATTTTTGAATTCGAGTATAATGATAAAACTATTACGATTTTACAAATTTATTTTTTATTTGTTGCAGTTGATAACAATGATCAACAGAGGACCAGAGGCCAGACAACTTTGAAGGAATTGTTTGCACTACCTCCTAACGAGCATATTGTAGTGTCTGCAAACTCTGATAGGTAACCAATTTATGAAAAAGCTTAATTGTTAGCTGGATTTCTAGGCATGCTAGCCCGTAATTGAATGAAATTGCCTATTCATTATGAAACATGGCATAAAGTTCTAAAATAAGTTAAGGCTGATGCTTTAAACTTTATTGAGGTATTAGTATAATTAATTAGATATAAAAAAATTTTTATTTTACATTTTGTTTACTTATTCAAACTTTTCTTATTGTATTATTACAGTCAAGCTTTGTACTTGAAATATCAATTTCATTTGTGCTTAAGTCATTGGGAAAGAAATGGAAAGATTATAAGTATAGTTTGAAGAATAAGTATTTCGATCAAAATACTACTGTAGAGGCGATGATGGAAAATTTATCCCGTAATGTGATTAGGTGGTAATATGAACAATTAGTTAGATTTTGGTTCTCAAGAAAAGAAAAGGTACTAGTTTATAACTCTGTATAGTATAATGAAATGATGAAAGTGTTTTATGGTTTAAGTTGGTAATATTTGTATTTCTATCATATATGCAATTATTTTTTATGATAGAAAAAAGAATAGATTGGATTGGTAGCAGAAAGCAATAGAAATATAGCCATACAAGTGGATCAAAAAGTTTTGAAAGAAAGCAAAAAGAAATAGTAAGCTTATGATAATAAACTTATTTCAATAAATGAACTTTTTTTGCCGTTAAAAGGTAAATATGCAAATTAATAGTTATTGTTCTGTTTTAATAGTTTTGATAGTTTCAATACAAGATATTAAACTTATCGAAAGTTTTAAACTTAGTTGACATGGATGATATGTATAAAAAGTTATTGTTTACGTATATTTAGGTAAAAATACAAATTTGTTGTTATTATTGTATTTTAACAGTTTGGATAGCTTCAATACTTGATATTAAACTTGTCTGATTGATTGAACTTGGTTTCTACGGTTGATATGGGAGGAAAAATTATCGTTTATATCTATTTGGGACTATTTTTACATATAAAAGATAAATATACAAATTAAACTTTTGGATGGCTTTCAACATATTGAATAGCTTCAATCATTGATATTAAACCGAAAAAAAATAATTGAATTTGGTTTCCATGATTGATATATGTAAAAGCCCAAAATGCTTTTATTGTTTGCGTATGTTTAAGATTATAGTGTTGTTACGGGGCCAAAATATAAATACATGAGATTAAAATTATTTGAAATTTTAATACTTGATTGATAGGCTTAATATGCAGGAATAAGTTACGATTGATATGTATCATATCAAATAACATATGTTTTTGTATAGAAGAATGACATGTGCGGTACAATTGGATGTGTGAAACTTTTTTGCATAACAAACACAAAAAAGACGGATCTTATATGAATATTAAAACACAAGAAATTATGATAATTTGTATCATCTATTTAAATAGTAAGTAAATATCTATTTTTTTAAACATATTATCAATTAATCATTAAATTTGATAGTTGTATATGACAAATTCACAGAAGAAAGCGAAAGAGAAAATGGCTGCTGAGATTGAAGTAGCATCTGATGATTTTTTCAACATGCAAGAAATGAAAAATCGAATATTCATGAAGTTACTGAAAAGAAAAAGGCATGGACGGGTTTGAGGCCTTGGATTGGGTCTAACACTATCTGCCTACTATGGACATAGCTCTTAGCAATTTACATTCTTAGCAAGTCAGTCTTCGCGAGACATTTCAATATTGAGAAGGGAGTTGCAAACTATGCAACAACATTTTCAGCAAATGGAAGCAGAAAAAGAACAAAAGCATGCCAAAATTGAGGAGGAACATGCTAGAATGGAGTAAGAGCATACAAAATTTCAGTAGTTGCATGATCGATTCAATCATCTTATGAATTTTGTGCAACAATAATTTTCAGAAAATGATTTTGGTGTTCCACCAACTCAAGTATTATATTTAGTAAATATTTAAATTTTTAAATATAAAAAAAGCTTACAATGAAGTGTTAAAAATTATATGGTATTATTCAGTAGGTTCTTGAGCACGCTAGTGACCAAGGTGAAAAATTTTCTTCATCAATTGGCAGCCAGCAAAATGTATGTAGTCATCCATTTCATACATTTTAATTTTTATTTTGTTAATGTATTAAAAATATTTGAATGTTATTATACTAATTATTAAACTTTGTATTAATTAGATACATATTTAAACATGAATTAAATTTATATTAATTTCAGTTTCTGAATTTAAGCTCTTTAATAAAAATAAAATTTATTAACAGAAATTTTAAAAAATACATTGTTACATAATGACGACGTTTGCGTTCAACAATGTCGCTAAATGAATAATTTAATAACGTTTGTATCATAAAATATTACTAAAAGTAACGAAGTTCTTACCAACAAACGCTGCTAGTTAAGTCGCATTTTTTTATACAAACACTACTAAAGCAACGACGTTTTTCTCATAAAAATGTCACTAAATTAGAAGTGTTTCAAATATACAAATACCGCTAATATAAAAGGTATTTTCAGATACAAACGTCTCTAAAGTAACGGCATTTTCAATTATAAATACCACCAAAGCAATAACATTTTTCTCATAAAAATACCACTAATTTAGTGGCGTCTCAAATATAAAAATGCCATTAAAATGATGACATTTTAGATATAAACACTGTTATTATTAAGGCATTTTTTTGAAAATACAGTTATTTTTTACAACACGTGTGTAACCGACACTTTGAGTGACATTTTTTGTAAACACTATAAATCTTTTAGTGACGTTTATAACGTTAAAAAAAATGCCACTAAAAACTTAAATCCCTGCGGTGACTATAAGATACATGTATTAATTAACATTCAAATCTTATGCATTTAAGCTTCAGTTTCCAATCTGAAACGGGGGACTCGAGGAACTTCTCAAACTAATCTTCTAATATATTAAAAGGGATAATTATTCTTTGTGCAATTTTAAAATTTTATCTTCATATAATCATCACATTTTTTTTAAATATTTGAATCCGAGATTTTCAAAGTAAGGTTTTATACTCTAATAGAAATTGATATATACCTCATGAATTATTCTTTTGCTAATTAAACGGTTTAATTTATTAATCCAAGAACTACGTGATTACTGTTCACTGTTCACTGTTTCCTAGTTCTAGCTTGGCTCGATCTTTTAGGAAATAAAAGAATGCAAATTGGAAAAAAGAAAAAATTTAGCACAAAGGACACATTTGCATAAAAATAAGATTATAAATATTGAAATTTAAAATTGATGAATATTCTATCTTAAAGAAACTTCTGAACTAAACTTGAGTTTATATATATATATATATATATATATATATATATATATATTTGCATCCTCAATAAAACAGAGTTAACAGGTCGAGAGTGAAGACTGCAAAGTACAACGATTCCTTTGTCCAGACCGTTATTTTTTTTTGTTGCTACTCTCTGTAAACATACTGTCCATAGTCCAGTAGGTTATGTCTTTTTGTTTGAATTATAATACGTATTTACCTTTTAATTATAGAGAGAAAAAAGGATGGAATTTGGTTCATTAATTTTTCTGCATTGTAATTTCCTTGCTATATCTTGTGAAAAGAAAGCAACTCAGCAAATGCACTGAACGTGTTAGAAAAATTTTTTCCACACCTAGCAACCGGACTTTAGTTGGCGCTACCTAGCTACACAAGCCACAAGCCTTTTTCTATCCTTAATATAATGAAAAGGAGGAAAAAAATAACAACCAATCAAGGAAGTTCTACTTTTGTTTTTGTCGGTCTTCGATGACTTGTTTTTTGTTGCCCGTGATCGCTTGATATGATGCTAACCTCAATCAATCTAGGAAGGATCCTTACAATTTCCCTGTGGGGCATGATGTAAGGACTCGGTAAGGAGAAGAAGTTGGTTTCAGTAGTGGAGGAAAAGAAATAGTGCAGAACACTTGGTGCTTGACTTAATTAATCACCATCAATCATAAACATGAACTTATCTATAGTCTCGTTATGTTTCTGATGATTATTCTCTCTCCATTTCGTTTCTAGCTATTGATTTTAATTTTGAACTCCTCAACTTGTTTCTTCAAAATACTTATTATTATCTCTCATGGAGGCAGTAGCTGCAGTCGGAGAAGCTTTTTTCTCTACTATGTTTGAAGCGCTACTTGATAAGTTTAACGCTTCTGACTTGATGAATTTTGCCCAGAAGGAGAAAGTTTACGCTGAACTCAAAAAGTGGGAGAAGATATTGAAGACTATCAACGCAGTTCTCACTGATGTAGAAGAGAAGCAAGTAACAAATAGGAGCGTTAAAGTCTGGCTGAATGACCTAAGAGACTTGGCTTACGATGTAGAGGACATATTAGAGGAGTTTACCTACGAAGCTTTGCGACGAAATTGGACAGCAAAACCTCATAGCAGCACTAGTAAGGTAAAAGAGTTTTTCTCTACTGGTTTGAGAGGTTGTGCTGTCACGTTTAATGTCAAGATGGGGTCAAAGATAAAGGAGATCAGCAAAAGGCTGGAGGAGATTGTAACCCAAAGGAGCAACCTGGACTTAGGAGACAATGTCGGAGGAAGGGCCAAAAAAGCAAGAGATCTTCAAAGACTGCCTACAACGTCTTTAGTCAATGAAGTCAACCACTGCGGCAGGGGGAAAGATAAGGAAGCCATACTTGAATTTTTACTAGATGAGAATACAAGTGAAGCTCAAGTCCCTGTGATTAACATAACTGGCATGGCAGGCATTGGCAAGACCACTCTTGCTCAGCTGGTTTACAATGATGATAAAGTCAAAGGTTTTTTTGACTTACAAGCTTGGATCTATGTTTCAGAAGATTTTGACGTCATAAAGGTCACAAAAGCCATTTTACAGGCTGTCACTTCTGAAATTTGTGATATCAATGACCTGAATTTGCTTCATCTCAAGCTAAAGGAGGCGCTATCAGGGAAGAAACTTTTACTAGTCTTAGATGATGTTTGGCATCAGAACGAGGAAGGTTGGAGTCTCTTTATCCGTCCTTTTGAAGTTGAGAACTCGGGATGCAAAATCATCATCACGACTCGCAATCTATATGTTTCACAAATAACAGGTACTGTACTTGCTTATCCTTTAAAAGAGTTGGCATATAATGATTGTTTGTCAGTTTTAGCCTGGCATGCTTTGGGAAGCAAAAATTTTGACGGGCATCCACAACTGAAAGAAATTGGCGAAGAAATAGTGAAGAAATGCAAGGGGTTGCCTTTGGCAGTAAAAACTTTGGCAAGCCTCCTGCGTACCAAGCTGGCCTACAAAGACTGGGAAGCTGTATCCAGGAGCAAGATGTGGGATCAGACAGAAGAGAAAGGAGGCATTTTCCCAGCTTTAGGATTGAGCTATCATCACCTCCCTTCTCATTTGAAGCCATGTTTTGCCTATTGCTCTTTATTTCCAAAGGACTATGAATTTGATAGAGATGAGTTGGTTCTTTTATGGATAGCAGGGGGTTTTGTGCAATCAAAAGAGAATAAGCAACTAGAAGACTTAGGTGGCCGGTACTTTTCTGATCTGCTATCAAGGTCATTTTTTCAACAGTCAAATAATAACAAATCGCTGTTTGTAATGCATGACCTCATTGTTGATCTTGCTCAATCCGTTGCCAAGGATTTGTGTTTTAATATGGAGCATGAACCGCAAATTGATGATGGCCAACCTTTTTTTGAAAAGGCTCGCCATGTGTCATTCATTCCTCAACTATACGATTTCTCACAAAGGTTTGAGATCTTCGACAAAATGAAGGGTGTTCGGTCTTTCCTAGCATTGCCGAGATCGTGTCAGAGAAACTATTGCTATATAAGTTGTAAGGTATTGCACAAATTGCTGCCAAAATTAAAATGCTTAAGAGTGTTATCCTTGAGTGGCTATTTCATTGCAGAGCTACCAAATTCGATCGGTGATTTGAAGCATTTGCGGTGCCTTAATTTGTCTAAAACTGCAATAAGATTGCTGCCTGAATCAGTTTGTAAACTTTACCAGTTACAAATGTTAATATTAAACCAGTGCAGAGAACTTACTGCTTTGCCTGGTGAAATTCGGAGACTGATTAATTTGCGTCATCTTGACATCAGGGATACTCCCAAACTTCAAGAGATGCCATTAGGGCTAGGAAATTTGACTAGTCTCCGGGTATTGCCCAAATTTATTGTCGGGAAAGCTGGAGGGTTGATGTTAAGAGAGTTAAGGGATTTGCCTCATCTACAAGGTCAGCTTTCCATTTTAAGGCTGCATAACGTGGTGAATATTCAGGATGCAAGGATTGCCAACTTAAAGCAAAAGCACGGACTGAAGGAGTTAGCCCTGGAATGGAGCGATGATGATGGTATAGACGGACACAACCAAATGCAGGTCCTTGAGTCACTTAACCCTCCAAAAGATCTCCAACGGCTGTCCTTTTCACATTATGGAGATAAAAAGTTCCCTTCTTGGGTAGGGAATCCTTCTTTCGCTAACATAGAGCAGCTAGACCTCTATGGCTGTATAAATTGCGAATCCTTGCCACCACTCGGGCGACTACCATTACTTAGAATCTTGAATATAAGAGGCATGCATGCAGTGGAAAGTTTGGGCCGTGAATTTTACGAGGTGGCTTCTCCTTATGTCAAGGCTTTTCCATCTTTGGAGTTCTTGAAGTTTGAGAAAATGCCAAAATGGAAGGAATGGATTCCATTTGTGGTTAATGTAGAAGTTTTCCCTATTCTTCGCGAGCTTATACTGCACGACTGTCCCCAATTAGCTGGAACGTTACCAAGAACCCATTGTTCTCTGGTAAAACTAGATGTTAAAAAATGCCCACGGTTAATGAATTCACCTTCAAGCTTCTCATGCTTAGGTGAATTGACTATTGAAGACAGTAGTGACGTAATCCTTAGAAGTATGGTTGATCATAGCCCCATCACCAAATTGAAAGTTAAGAGAATTTCAGGCCTTACTTGCTTAACTGAGGAGCTCACAAAGGCCTTTGTGAAACTTGAAGTTCTAGAGATTGAAGGTTGCAGTGAACTTGCGTGTTTGTGGAGGAATGCATCAGAATTAGAAAACCTGCCTCGGCTAGAGACTTTAGTAATAAAGAATTGTCCCGAGCTTGTATCCTTGGTCGGAGAAGAGCAAGCGCTATGCCGCTTCTCATCTCTTAAAGATCTCAGGATTGAAAGCTGCCAAAAATTTGTGTCCTTGCCAGCAACAGGGTTGCCCTATACACTAAAGTACCTTAAAATCCGTGACTGCAAGGCTCTGGAGTCATTGCCTGACACGTTTGGAACGAATGGCTGCAGCACCCACCATTGCCTTCTTGAAGAGTTGGAGATTGTAGGATGTCCTTCTCTAAAATCTTTACCAACTGGCAAGTTGCCCTTGGCACTGAAGAGGTTGAGAATAGAAAACTGCAGAAATATAGAGTCTCTTCGGGATGGAATAGTGCGACGTGATGATAACGAGAATAGGGCATTTCATCTTGAATATTTGTGTATAAGTGATTGTCCTGCTTTAGAATCCGTCCTGGAAAGTGGGTTGTCGATCCCCAATCTTAAAATTGTCCGCATATCCAATTGTCAGAATCTCAGGGCGCTGCTAAACCAGATGCAGAACCTCACCTCCCTTCAAGAATTGAGTTTTTCTGACTGTGTGGCTCTCACATCCATTCCAGACGGTGGTTTGCCACCCAACATAACTTCACTTGAGATCCGAAATTGTAAAAATCTGAAGCAGCCAATGTCATATTGGGGACTGGAAAAAATGAATTGTCTTACAGAAATAAAAATTGTTGGTTCATGCCCTGCTGCAGATATGGTTTCCTTTCCAGATGATGAGGGCGTGATGCTCCCTTCGACTGTAACCAATCTTTGCATAGAAAGCCTCCAGAAATTGGAATCTCTATCAAGGGGACTGGAAAATCTCATAGCTCTCGAAGAACTGCACATTAAAGGCTGCCGTAAATTCCGATTTCTACCAAAGACAGGCCTACCGGCCTCACTTGGACGACTGTGCATCTCTGGCTGTCCTGTTTTACAAGACAAGTGCGTAAAGGAGAGAGGAAAATACTGGCCCATCATATCCCACATCCCTTGTCTTGAAATAGACTGAAAATTTATGGTGAATCAGGTATAAATTTTAATAACGTTAGTAAAGCTTCTTACTGGCTGTTTAGAGAGTGACGTACATATATGCAGTAGGTGAGAGAGATGTAACCATATTAGTAGATTTCAAATAGGAAACAATTGTCTGCAACTGCATGATGCATCCAAAACCCACAATTAACGCAGTAGTGGATTAGGATCATCTTTTGTTTCTTTTTCGTCAAGGTTCACATTAATTTATTTGAGGACTTCTTTAAATTGTAAATTTTTTTTTTTTTTTGCCTATAGAAAGACTAAACAGAAACAAATAGAAAGAAATTCTGTGTGCTTTCATTCATGCATAGACTTGCAAGCACAAAACAATGCACACTGACAACGTATAAAAACTAAAGCGATGAACTTCTATTAGCATAAAATAATGCACATCTTTTATGATTCATACTTTCCAGATTGTAATGACAGAGCAGCTACTAATCAACTATGGTGATTACCCCACTTATATAGCTCTGATTCTAACAAAAGATCAGAGAGGAAAATGCATATCTGCCAATATTACTGTAGGGGGAACAGAATCTCCAGAGCTTCATCCAAAATATTGGCATAAGAGGCTGCCGGGTAAGAATCGAAGAACAGTTTCATTAACATAATTTGCTTTTATTTCTACCATCATCAACCTGTGAACAGTAGTAAATATGTCATTGATATGTAAAACAGCATTAGAATTCAATACTAGAATGCACATTTATTTGCCATGGTGATAGAAGATTGAAAATTTATTTTCTAGTGCTATGTAAGTGTTTAGACTCAAATCTTTACCCTTTTTTTGGGCTATCTGAGAGCTTGCCTACTGTTAAAGAATTCTGCTGTCAATGGGTGTAGCTAAATGATGTTGAGGAGGGTTGCTCAATTTTCCTTAAGAGAGAAAGCACAGCTTGAACCTTCAAGCATCATCATTATACGTGAATAGAAAGTATCTGCAACTTTGCATGCTAGGAGTGTTGGCTATTTTCAGGAAATACCTTCATGGGATTTAGTCTCATGATCTACGGATTCCTCCAAATATCACTGCTTTGGAAGAAGATTCCTCTTAGCATCCGATTTTCAAATGGTAGCCACCTGTTCCTTTGACATGGATTAAAGATGGTTGAACTGCAATCCATAACCAAGATGGAGATCATGCTTCAAATTTTCAATAAGGCAGTTGGGAAGTTATATTGAATTAGTTGACTTCAAGGTATGATAAAGATAACATAACAAACAGATGTGGAGATGTAGGACAATACCATAATAGTGTTTTTTTTTTTTTGGGGGGGGGGGGTGGGTGTGGTTTGGTACAACCTATTCAGAAGCTTGAAAAACATCTTTTAAACTATTTAATAAATACCTCAGCTAGTTATTGCCAGAACGTGAACCTTAGGGGAAAAAAAATCCTGCAATAATCATTTTACTAGCATGCTCCTTGAGCCCATATTTTTATTTACCCTTTCGTCTAAGGGATATCATGTCATAGAGCATGCTCATCTGAGTTAACTGCAACACTGGTTGCACAATTACTAGTATAATTTGCTTCTTATCTTCTTCGCTCCAAATTGTAAAGCAGCAAAATATATAATATATAATATATAATATGCTAATCAAGGACTCAAGGAGCATGAGAGTTCTAAATAAGAAAGGCATGTTATACACATTGTAATATTAGAGAGAAATTTTCTCTCTCTTTTCAAATACATTTTGCTTCAAGTGATTAAGTGTGTGCTGACAACAGAAAGCAAGCTTACTCATACCAAAAAAGAAGTATGATGCCAATGGCCATACCTAAGTGGCACTGACAGAGGATTTCTCAACAGAGAAAATGCAAATTGTCTGAACTCTGAAACTTTCTTCATTACATACAAACAGAAGGTAGCTGCAAATTCAGAATCCTGGGAAAGTTGTTCTGAGTTACGAGCTAAAATTGATGGTTTTCTTCTCAATCTCACTACATAGAAGATACCACTTAGTAAATGATCCCCTGAGTACAATAGTCGGCCATTTCTTTAGGAGCAAAGATGATCAAACCTGCAATCAGTAACCAAACAGAGAGATCATGTTGCTAAAGCTAGTGATGGGAAATGTTACTGATTATTATTCACTCTGTGACAAACCAAGTAATGACATTGACAAAACAATAAGGTTAGGTAGGAAGTGATAACGCTAGAGGCTTAATGCGACCTAGGATAGGGGCAGGGAAGGAGACGGATAATAGATACATCTAATTAATTTCAAAATGTAAAACTAAAGCTACTATGAGAATCTTTTGATGAGTATGTTGATTAAGTAAACCTTTCATCTTACCCTTTCTTCTAAAGGGCAACTATGTCATGCAACATATTCCTTATCTGTTATCTGCATTAGCATAAATCATTTCTAAATCTTCTTTACCTAAAATGTACAGCGGGAATATGTTTCAGTAAATACGTGCCAACTTAAGGGCCAGAGGAGCTGCTCGAACTGACTAGGATTTACCTTGTTGAACAGTAAGAGATATTAGCATTTGGCTTTTTCAGTCCATTCAGGAACTCAATCTGCTTAAGTTCGAGATGTCATCATAATTTATCCTCACACGAGGAAGGTGAGAAATAATTGGCCAATATGCACCTTTCTCATCTATGCATTCTTTTTCTAGAAAAGGGCAATTTCTGATTTGAAGCACACCAAGTATGATAGGCAGGCCATCCTTTGGCAAGTACTGGAGCTTAGGGCAATCCCAAACATCCAATGCTTCAAGAAAAACAAGGTCCTGGAGCCCGTTGGATAGAGATTTCAGATTAGGTAGACTCTGGATACGGAGGTGGACAAGATTTGGGGGAATGGTAGAGTCTTCTGGAAAGGAAATCATATCTGGATCAAAATCTCCAACATTTAAGTCTTTAAGAGATATGAGCTTGTTCAAGTGCCACATTGCAAAGGGTAGCTTGAGTTGCTTGCAACCCCATATAGAAAGTGATAGCAGGTTTGGGGGAAAACCACCTTCCGGAAAGGATTTTACACCTGGACAACCAAATATCGTCAGATATTGCAGAGATGTGAGGTCATGCATCTTATTGGGTAGGGACTTGAGATTCACGCAGTTGGAGATTAAGACCGTTCTGAGGTTATGGATAGGCAACCCACTTTGTGGGAAATACTCCAAGGAAGAGCATTGATTTACATGCAACTCAGTGAGTCGTTCAAATCTGCACAGGCACTGAGGTAAGGCTTTCAGAATTTTGCAGTTTCCAATACGAATGAATTCAAGTGACCTATTGTTCTGCAGCAATCTCTCAGGAATACACTTCAATTTAATGCAATCCCAAATCTCAAGGTGCTTAAGAGAAGCTGGTAACTCACCAGTTGGAAACAATCTGAGAGATGGACATCCAAGAATCTCCAAGTTTTCAAGATGATATCGAGTAATGCTGCTGTTACCATTTTGCACCAGTCCCTCAGGTAAAGACTCTAAAGACTCGCATCCCAAGATTACTAGATTTTTTAGCAGAGACGGAAAACTTCTCTTTGGAAAAGACAATAGTTTGGGGCACCATTTAACACTAAAATCTTTCAATGATCTAAGATTTTGTAGCCCATTTGGAAGCTTCTCCAGGTTAGTGCAATCTTCTATTTCCAGATACTCTAGGCTGGAGGGCAGCTTTTCCTCTTCATCGATCAGCCACAACAGTTTAGGACACTTCATGACTGCCAAACGCTTCAAACAAGAAAGGTTTCCTAATCTGGCACCCTTTTCCCATAGGGATGTCAGTCCACCACAATCTTCAACTTCAAGAACTTCAAGTGATACGAAACATGAGAAGCCTTTGGGTAAGCTTGAAAGATTTGAAATGTTCTCAATTTTCAACCTAGTGAGAGCAGTGAGGTCCATGAAACTTGTAAGAAATCGCTCATCACATTGCTCTAAATTCAATTCACGGAGAGATGGGAGGCTCAGAAATGAGTCTGCAAGCTGTGGACACTCACAAATGGAAAGCTTTTCAAGGGAAGTAATCAGGTTCGGCACAGCCCCGACTAACTCTGGACAATTCCGCAACACAAGCTCATAAAGTTGAGGGAATTTCTTTTCTGCAGCTTCAAACCCCTGAGGTTGAGACCAATTCTCCCACTTCAACATTTCTCCAAATGTTAGGGTCTCTAAGGATGGAAAGAGCCTATCAGAGCAAGAAGTAACCCCATAAAATTCAGAACCCACCAGACTTACTCCGCTCATTCCCTCAATGTGCAAATCCTTGAGGAAAGGTAATCTCCCAAGTGATGGTAATGATTTCACTTTTGAACAATCATAGATATTTATGTACATCATATTAACAAATGAAGGACTCCCAATCCAAGATGGAAACTTTGTTCCTTCATAAAACAATATGCTGAGCTTCTTTAGGTTTTGATGGGGTTCTAGCATATCGAGAACATCAAATTCATCTACTTCGCTCTGAATATCCTTAGGATCATTTCTCCATTTCAGGACTAACTCATCAAGTCCACATTTCCCCTTTAGATTGGCAACCCTTACATCTTGAATCTCTGCCACATTTTGCAACTCAAATAAAGAAAGCTGCCCTCGAAGATTAGACAAGCCTTTCAACTCTCTTATCCCATGCCCATTGCTTTTTCCCACAACAAACTTTGACAGATTCTTGAGATTGATCAAATTTCCTATATGAAGAGGCATTTCCCTCATATTTTCAGTATCAGCAATATCAAGATAATGGAGGCTGATTAGATTCCCCATTCCTCGAGGCAATTTAGCAAGTTTCTTACACCCACTCAATTTTAATGTCTGCAAATTGCAGAGAGCACCCAGTGACTCAGGTAAGCATCTAATTCTAGTGCGAGAAAGATTCAGGTATCTTAAATGACTGAGATCACCGATAGAATCTGGCAACTCACTTATGCAATAACCACTCAAAGATAATACTCTTAAGCATCTGAGTTTTGGCAGCAGGTCTTGGAATAATGAATTAGTTAAATAGCATTCTACTTCCAGATCAGGCCCGGAGACAGGTAATGCTAGGAATGTTCTTAAGCTTTTTGTTTTGTAGAAGGATTCAAATTTCCTCAGGACATCATACTTCTGACGAATGAATGAGGAGTGGCGAGCCCTCTTGGAAACATAGCATTGCCCATTGCTTTTAATCTTGTCCTCCAACCTAAAGCAAACTTCCCCAGCAACAAATTGAGCTAAATCATTAATAAGGTCATGCATTATATAACATGATTTTCTAACACTTGATTGTTGAAAAAAGGACCTCGAAAATAAATCACGAAAATACTCAGAACCTAAGTCTTCCACCTGCTTCATTCCCTTTGGTTGATGGATAAAACCTTCAGCAATCCATAACTGAACTACTTCATCCTTGTCGAATTCATAGTCCTTGGGGAATATTGAACAATAAGCAAAACATTGTTTCAAATGAAAAGGAAGATAATGGTAGCTCAACCTCAAGGCTGGCAGAATGTCACTATTGTCTTCTGGCAAATCCCATATCTTGCTATTCAGTATATCTTCCCATTCCTGATAATCTAACTTGCAGCGCAATAGGCCTGCAAGGGTTTTCACAGCCAATGGCAAGCCCTTACACCTTTTCACAATTGCCTCACCAATTACCTTCAGATTAGGATAATTATCAAAATTTGTACTCCCCAAAGCATGTTGTGTGAACAAAGACAAACAATGATCATGCAACATTTCTTTCAAATGGTAAACAGAAACAGTTCCCATTATTGACGCAACTCCTTGATTACGGGTTGTAACAATGATTTTACTTTCCCAAGAACCTACTTCAAAAGGACTACGAAGAACCATCCAATCATTATAGTTCTCGTTCCAAACATCATCTAGAACTATCAGAAATCTCTTCTTAGATAGTTGGTCCTTAACTCTACGTTGCAGCTCGTTCAAGTCATTCACATCAGAAGCCCTTGAAGTCAAGGATTCTAACAAAGTCTTCATCACCCTAACAATATCAAATTCCTCAGAAACACAAACCCAAGCTCTCAATTTAAAGAAGGTCTCAACTCTGGCATCATTATAAACGAGCTGGGCAAGAGTAGTTTTGCCCAACCCTCCCATTCCAACTATAGGAATCACAGAAATCCCACCATCACATGATTCTTCCTCCCTAAAAAGTTGATTAACAATAAGGTCTTTGTCTTTGTCCCTCCCGAAAACAAATGATTCATTCACCAAAGAAGTAGAGGGCATTCTTCGCAGCATTCTATAACGGCTACCCCCAATACCTTCCATCAAACCAAGATCATCTTTTTGTTTAACAACATCTTGCAATCTTTCAGTTATTTCCTTTATTTTAGATGCTATTTTATAATTAAAAGCAAATTGATCAAAAAAGGAAGAAATATATTTCCGTATCTTGGTGGTGATTGTTTGACTCCGTTCCTTGGACTTTTGACGCAGAGCTAAAGTGGAAAAGTCATCCAGCACATCTTCAATATCGTAGGCCAAGTCTTTGAGATCGTGAAGCCATATCTTGATGAACCGATCAGTGAATTGCTTTTCCTCTGCATCTTCCAGGACTGCCTGAATCTTGAAAAGAATGGTCTCCCATTTCTTGAGATGGGTATGGACATTTTCTTTGCGAGCAAACTCCAGAAACATAGGGGCTGCCAGTTCCTCCGATAATATCCCAAGGAGAGTAGAGAGAATATTCTCGCCAACCACAGCGAACCCACACTCCATTGAACAGAAACAGAGTCTTTTGATGAGAAACAAAAGGAGAGGATATATTACGCAGCAACAACCGGACACGAGACGAAATGGGAGGAAAGAGCCGTACTTAACCCTGGCCTGCTGTTGGACATAGAAAAACTGGGAGCCTCTTTGACATTAAAAATACACCGACCGGTAGAATTTAAGATTAATAATATCTAATAATTTTATTAAAAATATTATTTATAACTTTTATAAAAATTATTTATTTAAAAATATATATTTATTAAAAAAATTTTAAATTTTATATATTTAATTTATATAATAAAATTTTTTAATTTTAATTTATTATTTAATTATTTTAATAAAAAATTTCACCAACTTCACCTCTAAAACTTAAGTTTTTCCCACCCAAACTAAATCAAACTAAAAGTTAGTTACCAAATGGACCATGTCCTTTGGATTCAAACAGAGGCACGGCACAGTATACAATTGGGTATTTTAATCGCACCATATCCCTTGAATCGGGACCAGAGCTTTATTTGTTCGGTGAACTCAGTGACATTGTGATACTCGTGGACAATATTGTCGTCACCGTTGGACTTACCATAATTATTTTACCCTGGCATTATCTATACATGACTACAGTATTATTATTACGTCTAAAATTTACATTCTATTTTTGTCTATTTTGTTTTTTTCACTTTTTACCCTTAAATATATATTATTTTTTGAAATACCCCTAAACTATTATTTAAAATCTTAAATATATTATTTTAATATAAAATAATACATCAGTATTTATTAAATAAAATTTTAAAGATTTTAAATGTTAAATAACATCAAAATATAAATAAAATCTTTTTAACTATTTAATAACAAAAATATTATTTTATGTAAAATAATTTTACTAATTTTTATTTTATTAACGTAAACGTTATTTTACATAAAATAATTTTAATACTTTATAATTATTTATTAATTTAAAAATATCAAACATATACTATAAATTATATTATATAAATTTTAATTTAATATTTCAAATTATTATTTTTTTACTCATTATATTTCATATTATTATTACTACATTTACTTTCAAATACATAGTTTATCATTATTTTTAATTACATTAATTAATTTTATTATCATTTTTTTTTAATTTTATTAAAATTAATCTTATTATAAATTTAAAAAATTCATGTAAAAAGACAAATATAAATATGTATAAATCACTATTCCTTCTAACAAAAAAAAAAAGACAATGATAGTAATAAATTAACAACAGTTATCTGTTTTTCAAAGGACAAAAAACAAGGGCTCTCTGTTTGAAAAAAAAAAGTCACGCTCGAACGCGGAGGTAGATATAAATCCCAATCGCTTGTTTTGAATTTTTTTTCCAGCGAAGGTAGTATTACAAGATTTTTTGGCTGCTGAGCTACATTTTTTCACTTTTTTGGCTTTGCCAAAAAAGTCAAAAAGACTACGCCGCGGATTTTCCTTTGAAGCGCGCTCTTCACATTTAGTTATGAATGCGAAGGAACAGAATTTTCTCTAACTTTCAACTTTGTCTTCTCTAACTTTCAAGTTCAATTTAATGGATAATCATCAATAATATTGACAAATTAATGTGAAGAAAAAAAAATAAAGCCCATTTCTAAATTTTTAAGAGAAAGAGAGATTGTCAGATGCAGAAGGCATCAGCTGCAAAGAGCAGTCCAAGTGTCCCATTTTTGAGCATTGGAGCTTCGAAAATTGAGGCGGAGCCCAAGTCATATGTAAAAATTTAAAGAGATCAACGCAAATATGCTGATTTGCCCAGTGCTGGCCAATTCTCGGCGTCGGCCCACCTCGTCTCGTCTTCTTTCCTTTCTTCCTCTCTTTCCCTTCCCTCGGCCCTCTCTTTCCCATTCTTTCTTTTCTTTTTTTTTTTCTTTTTTTTAAATTAAAAACATATAAATTTTTAAAAATTTTCATTTTTTATGCTGTGTCAAAATGATAATAACATTTTTGTCACGTACGAGTTTACTGAACGTTTTGATTATCTAAACTATAAAGGTTTTAGTTTAAAAGATCCAACTATTTAATGGGATATATGATCTAGTATCTAATTATAAAATTTTAAATTAATAAAAATTATATAATATAAACGTCACTTTATATATATATATATATACAGGTGTTCCACTATATTTTGTCGGTAGAATAGGAGTGCAGGCCACGTGAGAAGTGCAGTCCACGTGAATCAACTTAGGAGACATCGCCATTCGCACCAACCCACCAATGTAATGGCAGACGATAACATTGTACTTGCTCCATCACTTGCGGTCCACCGCATCCATCACATAAGATAATCCAACCACCGCCAACTTGGTTATACATCATATAGCACTGTTTCCTAGTGATTAAAAAAAATCAGATCAAATGATTTTTTTTAAAGGAACTTAATCAATAGAATAGATTAAAATTACCTTAGGTTGATTAATTACTACTATTACTCTCTTCGTTAAAAAGGTTTGTCATTGACGATTACAAATATTAATGTTATTCTTTTTCCTTTGAAAATTTTGGATAGGATAAGATATATGATGTGTAAGATAGAGATTGATCGAATAAAAGAAAAAGGTATGCCATTTAAAAAAAAAAAAGGAAAAAGCTTCCAATTCCTTGCGTGGACGTTATAAACAAGAAACCGAAAGATAGATTCGACACCCAAGGATAAGGATTAAAGACTCATTTGTTAGGATATATAGGAATCCAGCCCTTTCTTTTCTTTTCTTTACCCAACAAAAAAAAAAAAATCTATGAAGTTTTAGTTTTGTTGATGATATTTTTGGATTGTTTTCATCGGAAGGAAAGAGGTGGAGTAAAAGAAAATGATAGCTCTTACTTGCAATTAGAAATACACAGTCAGAGACGTATTCCACAATCAAGACAATTAAATTCCTGAAGGAAGTAAACAAGGAAAGAAGAAAAGAGGCTGAGAATAGTGGGGAATGTGGTGAAAGCTTTCAATAGAGGAAAAAGCTCATAGTGTAGTTATTTGATCTTTTAATTACTTTATGTATGAGATTGAAAAATAGTGATTTGATTGAGATATTGATCATTGATAAAATATTTGTGTATAATTCAAAAATGATCAATGTGAGTAATGATTAGTTATATTTAATGATCTTAAATATGTGTAAGTTGTATTTAATGATTTTAAATAAATTATATGTCAAATGATCAAATTTAAAAATGATTGTTTTGATTAAATAATCACAATACTTTAAATGAGTTATTCATTCGATGAATGTGAGATATTTTTTTTATAATAAATGACATGATTATTTGAATATATTTTATTTAAGTAACATAAAAAATTATAATTGTGTTAACTAAACATTAACTAAGTTGATTGTTAATTAATTGACTTAAACATAATAAATTTAATTACGTATGCATTTGCGTCGTACTTATATTGGAGTATTAAAAGTCTAAAGAGTGGATAATTTGGTAGGGTAGGCTACTGGATTTATTTGGCGAAACTGGCGTTTGGTGAGTGGGTTATGTGATGACGTTCCACAATTTTCCAAATTAAATCTACGAGTAAAAGTTTAGTTTGGGAGGGTAATTGACTTTTTCATTAATTACTGAAAAATTTTCCTCCGGAGTTTTCATGGACATGACTTCAGCAACCGTGAATTTTTTTATTAATCCTTGACTTGTTTCTGGATGATATCTCAACTTTTTCATCTTTAGTTTCAACGTTCAAAACAAGAACCAATGAATGACAGATAAAAGCAGAGCAGTTTGCTTTGTAGTTAATCCACTTCAACAATGTCGCCAGTAACAACATATTAGTTTTTTTAGAGAAGATTTTGTTATAAATAAAATTATTGTAATAATAAAACCTTAACTAAGCTCGAAACATCGGTTACCAAAACCCTTTTAAAAATACAAATAAAGTAAATATTCCGGAAAAAAAAAAAAAAAAAGGGGTCGATCTAAGGGTTGATTTTGTTGATTTTATTTTTCTTTTATCGATATTGAAAGTTAACAAACAGAATCTGCTGGTTTAAAGGCTCCATTTGGTTTCAGACGGAACCCAGCGAGATTGCGTTTCTTATAAAAAATTGTGCCGAACGCATTCGGATATCCGTCTGAATGTCTAATATGAGGAATGAAAATGACTCTTCTGCCTCTTGACCTAATAATAAAGAAACCTTAAAAAAGATATTTAAGTTTGAGATTGAATTATTATTTTTTTCTTTTCATATAATAAGACGCTGTTATATTTTGAAAAAAAAAAAATACGAGGAATGAAAATGAGCTTTTTTGTTGGAGGTTTTGGGTCTGTCAACAAACGCTCAACTATTTTTTTTTTCCACTTTTTTGTCCTTTCAAGTTAACTTATTCGCCTCATTTTTTTTAATTTTAATTTTAATTTAAAAAATTATAAAATAATTTATAATTTAATATAATAAAAAATATAATATATTATTGTTATTTTTTATTATTTTCCTTTACTTTATTACCAAAATTATTATTTACTATAAAAATATTTTTTAATTTTTAATTTTTTATTAATTTTTATAAATTAAAATAATTAAAATTTTTATTACATATAAATTTTAAATTAATATTTTAAGAATTATATTTCATTTCATTATAATTAATTTTACCATCATTATTACATTTGCATTAAATATATATTTTTATCTTTAACTTTAATTTTGTCAGTAATTAATCTCATTTTGATGGGAATCAATCTCATCCTCCAATTAAATTTACGGCTAGAATGGGTTTCAATATATCTAAAAAAGTGCTCGTAGATGGTATTAATGAGTTTTCCGTGCAAATAAAAGAAAACATCCTACTCATTCTTCAAGCTGTCACCAGTCCTGTGCTTTGAGTTTGTGTTCGATTTTAGATTTTTGTCCTGTTCTTTTTTATGGAAGCTATAGTGGCCTCTCTCGGGGACGCGGTCGTCTCTGCTTTATTTCGGTCGCTGGTGGACCTGACCTCCTCGGCCCACTTTATAAAATTTGCCGGCAGAAAGAAAATTTTATCCGAACTCAAGAAGTGGGAAACGATGCTGCTCAATATCAATGCGTCAATCGAAGATGCAGAAGAAAAGCAAACCACAAGCCAGTCAGTGAAACTGTGGCTGACGGTTTTAAGAGACATTGCGTATGACGCTGAAGATATCATCGATGAGCTTGCCACTGAGGCTCAGCACCGCCAAATGAAGGAAGACCCGGACCCCTCTTCGGCCGCCCGCGAGGTAAGGCGATATATTTCAACTTGCTGCCTTAGTTTTAATCCTTCAACTGTTAAGTTTAGCACCAAAATGGAATCCAAAATAAAGAAGCTTACTGCTAGACTGGAAGAGGCTGTTGCTATGAAGGATGATTTGAGCTTAGTTGAAAATGATAGAGGGAGGTATGAAAGAATGAGAGAGAGACTAAGGACCAGTTCTCTTGTTGATGACTCTCGTGTCTACGGGAGGGAAGGAGATAAAGAGGCCATTCTTGATTTGCTGATGAAAGATAGTGATGATGGCGTTGGTGTGGTTTCCATTGTGGGAATGGGAGGAGTGGGTAAAACCACTCTGGCTCAGTTAGTGTACAATGATGCCAAAGTTGAAAGATTTTTTGATCTGAGAGTCTGGGTTTGTGTCTCTGAGGAATTTGATGTTGTTAGGGTGACGACCACAGTGCTTCAGGCTGTTACTTTGGAGAGTTGCAATTTAAACGATCTAAATTTGCTACAAGTAAGCCTAAAGGAGAAGCTGTTTGGGAAGAAATTTTTTATTGTTTTAGATGATGTTTGGAATGAGAACTATGAGCAATGGGAAATTCTATGTAGGCCCTTCATTGCAGGGGCAGCTGGAAGTAAAATTCTTGTGACTACTCGAAATGAAGGTGTTGCATCGATCATGGCTACTTGTGGGACATATCATTTAAAGGAATTGACAGACGATGATTGTCTCTCATTGTTCACTCGGCATGCTCTTGGAACTTTAGATTTTGAAGGACACCCAAACCTAAAAAAAATTGGTGAGGAAATAGTGAGGAAGTGCAAAGGCTTGCCATTGGCGGCTAAGACCCTAGGAGGACTCCTGCGTACTAAAGGGAACCGTGATGAGTGGGAAGACATATTGAAGAGCAAGATGTGGGATTTTCCAGAAGAAAGAAGTGGCATTCTTCCAGCTCTGAGATTGAGCTACCATCACCTTCCTTTCCATTTGAAGCGTTGCTTTTCTTATTGTGCTATTTTTCCAAAGGATTATGAATTTGACAAGGATGAGTTGGTTCTGTTGTGGATGGCAGAGGGTTTCTTGCACCAGACAAAAGAAAAGAAACAAATGAAGGACATAGGAGTTGAGTATTTTCATGACTTACGGTCCAGATCTTTTTTCCAACAGTCAACTAGTAACAAATCGCACTATGTGATGCATGACCTCATAAATGACCTGGCTCAATTTGTTTCCCGGGAAACATGCTTCAATTTTGATGGAGAGAAATTATATTCAAGGGTTGAAAAGTTTCGTCACTTATCATTCCTTCGTCACCAATATGACATTTCAAAGAGATTTGAAATCTTGTATCAAATGAAATGTTTAAGAACTTTCTTAGCATTACCAATTCATACATTGCCTTGGGCAACAAATTCCTATATAAGTAATAATGTCTTACAAGAGCTGCTGCCAAGGTTAACCTACTTAAGAGTGTTGTGTCTGAGTGGTTATTGCATTGTTGAGCTACCGCATCACATTGGCAGTTTGATACATCTACGGTATCTTAATTTATCTCACACCAGAATCAAATCATTGCCTGATTCCGTGGGTTCTCTTTTCAACTTACAGACATTGATACTGCATGGGTGCAAAAACCTTATTAAGTTGCCTCAAGCTATTGAAAATCTGATTAATCTTCATGTTCTTGATCTTACTGATACTGATAATTTCACAGAGATGCCAATGCATATAGGTAACCTGAAAAATCTTCAAATTTTGTCCAAATTCATTGTGCAAAGGGACCGGAGGCCTGGCATTGGAGAACTGAAGGGCTTGTTGCATTTGCGAAAGGAGCTTTCCATTCTTGGGCTGGAAAATGTGGTTGATGCTCGAGACGCTATGGATTATATTCTGAAGGATAAGCAGGGGCTTGACGGGTTAGATTTGCAATGGAGTCATGAATTCCTTGATCATGGAAATGGTGAAGATGGAATGCCTGTTTTCAACATGCTACAACCTCATGAAAATCTTAAAAAACTTAGAATTGTGTTTTATGGCGGCAGAAAATTTCCATCTTGGTTAGGTGGCTCCTCATGGGCTAATATTGTGGATATAAGCCTCTCTAACTGTAGAAACGTTATGTTCCTTCCAGAACTTGGGAGACTACCCTCGCTCAAGAAGTTGTCAATAGATGGCATGAATGGAGTCAAAGAATTGGCTTTTGGGTTTTTTGGAGATAGTTTACCTTTCTCGAAGCCTTTTCCAGTTTTGGAAGTTCTACAGTTTCAGAATATGTTGAATTGGAAATATTGGTATTATCCTAACAAAGCTAATAAAGAAGATGGAGAATTCCCTAGTCTACGAGAGCTTATGATTCATAATTGTCCAAAGTTGTATCAGAAGTTACCCAGATACCTGCCTTCTCTGGTGAAACTTATAATTAAAGGATGCCCGAAAATGGCTAATTCAGTTATGAGCCTTCCATCTCTTCTTGAACTAAATATTGAAGATTGCAGTAAAATGGTTCCAAGGAGCATGGTTGACCTTACCTCTCTAACTACACTGAGAATCAGGAGTCTATCAGACCTTACATGTCTTCCAGATGGGTTTCAACAGTTTCCAGGAGCACTTAAGCATCTTGTCCTTTTCAATTGCACCGGATTGACATCCTTGTGGCAGAAGGGTACTGAATTTGAGAATATTGTTTCTATCCAGCATGCAGAAATTAATGGCTGTTCTCAATCTTTCTCACTGGGAGGAAATGAAAAAGGTCTAGTGCCTAATGGGCTGTATTGCCTCATGTCTCTTGAGCATTTGCATATTGAATCATGCCCAAAATTTGTATCCTTTTTGGAGACAGGTTTCTTCGCCACACTTAGGCATCTGCAGCTCAGAGATTGTCCAGTGCTTAAGAACCTGCCCAGTTGGATAATGAGACATTCTGAATTTACCAGCTGTCTTCTTGAAGACTTGGAAATTGAAGAATGTCCTTCTCTCAAATGCTTTCCAAGAGGGAGCTTACCTCCTTCATTGAAAAGGTTAAAAATCCAAGGTTGCATTGGCCTACATTCTCTACCTGAGGGACTTATGCAGGCTGATAACAACAAATCTGCATCTTATCTTGAGAATTTGGAGATCATTGGTTGCCCATCGCTCGTTTACTTTCCAGAAGGCAAATTACCAACTAGCCTTAAAATGCTTAAGATTTGGGATTGCTTGAAGCTGGAGCCCCTTTCAGATAGGATGCTGCCCAATAATGCATCACTTGAATGCATAGGTATCTGGAACTGTGCAACTCTAATAAGCTTGCCAAAGTCTCTACAGAACCTCACGTGTCTGGTAGAATTAAATATAAGCAATTGTCAAGATCTGAAATACTTCCCAGAAATAGGTTTGCCTCTTCCCAACCTGAGAACTTTGGATATCTGCACTTGTGTCTATCTCAATTCTCTACCTGATCAGATGCTAAATCTCACTTCTCTTCAATATTTAACAATTTGTGACTGTCCATGTCTTGTTTCCTTTCCTAGAGGGGGTTTGCCTCCTAATTTATTGTCACTTGAGATCTGGGATTGTAAAGAACTCAAGGAACCTGTGTCAAAATGGAACTTACACACTTTAACCTCTCTTAGAGACTTCAGCATTGCTGGTGGACCAGAGATGGTTTCCTTTCCAGATGAAAGGTGTCTGCTTCCCACAACTCTAGTTTCAGTATATATTGCAAGACTCCATAATCTAGAATCCCTGTCTTCTGGGCTTCAAAATCTGTCCTTGCTTGAAGAGCTAGAGATTGTCGAGTGTCCTAAGCTTCGATGCTTACCAAGGAAAGGGTTGCCTGCAACACTTGGAAGACTTTGTATCAGGAACTGTTCACTTCTAGAAAACCAATGTTCACGAGAGAAAGGAGAATATTGGCCCTTGATAGCCGGCATCCCCTGTGTAGAGATAGAACCTGCAGATATTTAGGGCTTTGGCAGATCAGCTTTTGTTTTCTTTGGGAAACTGCAAAGGGACGCCATCACATAGATGTTTTTTCTTTGGTAAATTATTTTCTGATGCCAGAATTCTCATGAGTTAGTATAATAAAATCTTTTATACAATGACGTACTTTTTCGCTTGCTTTGTAGATGGAAAAGGATAAGAAGCATGTTATACCGAAAATTGTTCCAGCCATCCATGCAGTCAACTGAGGTAAATATTCTTTTGGACTTCAATGATAATTTCATTTCAGTTCAACTTGCAAACGTTGACCCAAAAAAAAAATAGGAAGGTAATAAGTAAGATTATTATATCAAGTTTCATACAAGATATATTTACTTTGATTAACTTTGTTTTGCAGTTATTCCGGCTACACGCCTAACTGGTTTCATGGATCATTTTCTAAAATTTTCAGTGGGAATGGAGGTATTCTCTATAAACTCAATTTGCTCATTAGCATGTTAAGCATTGATCTTTCTACTAGGAGAGTACTTCAAATGCATTTAATTCCTCGATATTCAGTTGCTTTGTGGATAACATTCTAACGCATGAGGTTACTTAAAGATTGAATTACATTCCATGAATCATCTGTCATTACAGGTTGTGATTGTGCTCATTATTTAACCATTGATAGCAACCTCAGGAGAAAGTTAGACTGCTGATGTGTACGGGTTTTAGTTTTGGATCTGGTGCAGAGAAAAGTCAACAAGGTTTCCCTCCCATATACTGTTAGGGCTCTAGTTGTGTCTACAGGAGTTGGAGTTTGTCTCACGTAACTTAATTATTATTATTATTATTATTGCATGTTTTGTGTATCTTAATTACTTGTACATATTATATCTGGTTAGAATTAAAGATTTACCCTATATTGACCCGTGACTGACAGCTACAGTTTGCTTATAAACGAGGATTGTATTGTGGAATGTGGATATTTGACCCACAGTTTGATTGTCTTGTATATTAAGCGGGTCAAGGTGACCTTTGACTAAATTGGATCAATGTCACCACTCCACTCAATTTTTATGTACCAATTGTTAATTTGTCATTTTAAAAAAATTGGGTAGCATGATTTAACTTTACAGAGCATGCTGTCCTTCTGAAGGTGCAGGCCCCTTTAAAGTTATTGCAGCAAGTTGGAAATAAAGAGTTGTCTGTCTGTTGATAGTATGGCTTAGATTGATGAAAGAATCCGTCTTGATTATTAAAAGATTGCTCCTCTTAACTCTTTTCCTTCTTACAGGTTTTTCAGTTAAAATTATGATCAGTCCTTGTCCCACTTGATTAGGACCCTGTGGTATCTCTTACATATTTGAGACTCATCTTTGTAGTGGTATAGTTAGGTTTCCATGAGGAACAGACTTATAGCCAGACTGGCATGGTTTTGTTTAGGATTCTTGCACTTTTCTCCGCCCAAGTTTTACAAGTTGATAGCGTGACAGCATTCTGTACAGTTTCTTTAGAATCTAGGGGTCATATTTTCTATGTAGGTTTTAAAAAACGATCTGGGAAAGCTTTAAATCAATGTTTTGCCTGGAGCTTATCTGCTTGGCTAGTTCGATTATGAACGACTAAGATCTGGCAGGGAAGTGGATTATGCATGTATTGAGTATGGTACTATCACGTTCCAATATTAAGACGTAGCGTGGTCACATTATTTTAAAATAAAATTTAAAGTAAAATTTTAAAATAGCATGAAATTTTTTTAATCATTCTAAAATTTTTTAACTTATATAATCTGTTTAAATAAAATTTATATTTTTAATTCAATTAATGATATATTTTTATATATTTAAATACAAATTATATAAAAATATAAAATCATTTCATAAAATTTTATTGATCAATATTGTCTCCAACAATTAAGTAATATTTTTCATTTTGATCTTTTAGCTTCTCATAATATTAAAAAAACTTATCACTTATTCATTTGTAAAGAGAAATAAAAAGAAAAATGAGCAAACCATAGTTCAACAAATATAGCTTCACACATCTTAACGGATCAAGTATCATTTTCATATATATCATATATGTCGTAACGGTTTTGGCCGTCGGACGAAAATAATTTTAAAATCAAGAAAATAAAAAGAGAGTCAATACCGATCTGTTTTAGGGTGTGATTGGTTACCCAAAAGCTTATCTTTTTAATAAAATTATAAAAGCAAGTTTAAAGTTTATCAAAAAAATTTTTGGTTTACGAAAAATCAAGTTATGCTTAGGAGTCAATTACGTAGGGGGAAGGATTAGCACCTCTACAACGCCCATAAATTGATACCATTTAGTTATACGCTATTTTTAGTATTGGATAAAATGGTTTCAATTTGAATTTAATAATAATCCCTTTCATTTGAAAATAAGATTTTTTTTTGCTAAAGCTTTTTATTTAGAAATATTGAGAAAATCTTTAAGTTAAAGAATTATCTTAAAATTCTTTAACATTTAGGCAAAATTTAAAATAACTCTTTTGGCTTAAAATCTAACACAGCAATCCTTAAAATGAAATAAAACTTTTTATAGAAGATAATTATTGATAACTCTCAAACATCTAGGTAAAGTACCAAAAAATATTTTCTTCGAAATGTTATTTTTATTTTATTTTATAATACCACAAATTTAAATATATATATATTTTTGTCTTGTAAAACATTTTATAAAAAAAAATAAATAATGGTATTGTCAGGTAACAAATAAAAATTAAAGACAGAGAAATACGAAATGAGTGTCAACAATAATATAGTGATGCATATATATGCCAATGGATATTATGTAAGATGAAATACAATTTTAAAGTTGGCTTAAGTATAATGAGACTACCCTAACTCTTCAACATTTAGGCAGAGCTTATGTATAACTATTTATATTTAAGATCCCAATTTACTATTATATTTTTTATTTATTAACCTTATTATTAATTTAAATTTGGGATTCGTATGAAAAATTTAATGAAATAAAGTTTCTTAAATACTCCATCATCTAGGTAGCATTCGAGAATAAATCATTTCATGTGAGATTTTCATACGTATCCTTAAAGTTTTAGAATAGATTTAGGGTTTTAGGGTTTTTGGAGTTTGAACGATTTTTTCGGTGATGGTTCGGAGTTATGTACCAAATTTGGGATTTTTGGATTTGAATTTTGAGGTTTTTGGATTTTAGAGTTTGGCATTTTGGATTTTAGGGTTAGATTTTCGAGTTTCAGATTTTGGGGTTTAAGTTTTCAATTTTCGGGTTTGGATGTTTAGGGTTTTGATTTTAAGACTTGGAGGGTTTAAGGATTTGTTTTGTGGTTTAGAAGGTTTAGGGATTTGGTTTTAGGTTTTTGATTTTAGGGTTTAGGTTTTTTAATTAAAGAAAATGCGAACATCTCTAAAAATCTCCAACATCTAGGCAGACTTTTGGAGCAAATTCGATTTTAGTGATTTTTGAAAATTAATTAAAGTTTTTCATATATTTCTTTTTATGAAAATTTATTATTATTATTATCAAATAATAATAATTATTATTACTTTTGTATATTTTTATTTTAATTAATTTTTTATTTATAATTCCCCGACATTTAAACGAAATTATATTTTAAAGTTCAAGGTTTTTATTTCCTCCAACATCAAGCAGGGAATATAAAAAAATATTATTATATTGTTATTATCACTTTTTAGACTGTTATTATTATTATTTAAGCATTTTAATATTTTTTTTAGTTATTGTCCTACTTGTTTTCAATTTTATTATAATTAAAAACAACCAAATATTTATTCTAATAAAATTTAAAAATTTTATCATACATGAATATAAAAAAAAACTCAAAATAACAAAAATAATAATATATAAAAAAAAATTAGAAAATTCAAAAGAAAAAAATTTCTTTTTACCTAAATCAGATCGGTTAACGGTCCGATCAACGTTGATCCGGACCGATTCTGTGATTTTACGGTTTAGTTTGGTTGAACTGGATGAGGACGGTTTGACGAGCAGTTTAGTTGAACCGGTTGGGAGCTGGCTGAAAGATGGGTCTCCGAGTCAGGTTGCACGGATCTCGGGTTGGGTTCGGGTCTACTTTTGGATCATTTTTACTAAAAACGTCGTTTTGGGCTTTATATTTTTCTATATAAGCTCAAAAGTTTTTTTTTTTTGCTCATTTCTTCACCTGCTTTAGAAAAAACAAACTTTTTTTCTCTCTCAACTAAAAAAACAGAAGGTCGATCGATTGTCAGAAGTCGATTGCCAACAGTCACGCCGACCGTTGTGGGCCACCATCGGTCGCCAGTCACTGATGCCAAAAAACCTTCAAAAACATCCGAAAGCTTTTTTTCTTCGTTCCTTTTCCCGATCCGATGTCACTTTCGCAGGAAACAACCCCAATTGTCATAGATCGGGGTTTAAAGTTTCGGTTTCTTCCTTTTACATTTTTTTTTTGTTTTGGACTAAAACTTATCTATTTTCTTTATTTTTGCAGGAAGCTTTGCGCTGGGATCCTTTCTGCGGAGAAAACTATTTTTGTAGTTTTTTATGAATTTTTGTTTGGTTTTTCTTTTTGTGTTATCTGTTTATAAGGGGAATAGGTATCGGGTGAGGTCGAGGGTGTTTGGTGAAAGGTTTCGTTGGGTGTTTCTAGGGTCTGAATCTGTGTCCCCACTGAGGTCTTTTCTTGGTGCTGTATATGAAGGTACCAAGTCTTTGGTAATGGTCGAATGAAGTTTATGGGCATTTACGTTGGTTGTAAGTACACAGGGCTTAGGTAGGTTTACTGGTGGGAGGGCTTCCAGAGATGTGTCCGAGTGATTGAAAAAGGAAGAAGCTGGGGCTTTAAGTAGATGGGGATCAGGGTGGTTGTAGATATGGCTAGGGTAGGCTGTAGGGTGGTGGCAGGAGGTTGGTCGGGAGGCTGAAGGGGCTGTAGGGTAGTGGCAGAAAGCTGCAGGGTAAGGATGGCTGGAGGTGGCTACAGGGTGGCTAGTGCCAGGCATTAGACGCCTTGCTTTTTGCCACTTTTTTTATTTTTTTAATTATTTTTTAATAATTTTTAATAATTTTAAATAAATTAATTTTTAATTTTAATTAAACCAATATTATTATTATCATTAAAATTATTATTAATAATACTAAACAAGAACTGAAAAATAGTAGACCTGGACAAAATCGGTGTCTACAATGTATATCATTCAAAATATTCATCAAACCATAATGTCAAATCATTTCAAAAATTATCATTATGTCAAATATTTCGTGAATCATAAATCAATATCAAAATATGTTAATTCATAAATCATTGCGAAATATGCTGCCATTCAAATATCGTAATTAAACCAAATCATTGATCAATCTTTAAAAATATCGTAAATCATCTTTATAAATCATCATTATCATTCGTTTATCGTTAACTATGGTCACTGCTATAACTTGTGATATTGGTTATATCGATAATTTCATTCTCATGATCATTGTTAACTATTATAATTCACTAACCATGGTTTTACACTAACTACTATAACTCATTAGTAGGGCTATATGATCATGACTATACTAACTACTATAATCCATTAGCCAAAGTCATAGAACTAATTCTTGTATTGATGATCCCAATTTTCAAAGATGTAAAAATGTAGCTATCATAAAATCATTCTTTAAACATAAATCATTTTTTCATTTCATTTATAAGAATGATCAATCATTTATATAGCAAAAATATACAATAATCATATGCTTGATCTTGCTTTCATATATCAAAAATAAAGAAATAAAACATTTACTCATTTAGAAACATACATATATACATAAGTTTAAAAACAAGTAAAGTGTTTGAGATTTTACTTACCTCATTTCGATTGCACTATTTAATTTTTCCCCCAAAATAATTCATGACCTATTTAAAATCATTTCAACACATCATAAATTAAACAATTCATTTTGAGACCATTTATACTAAAACAACTAAGTTACTCAAAAATTAACTTAACTAACTAATTATGATAGCCTGTGTTATTTTCATTAAAATGACCATATTTTAATATATACAACTCAAAATTAAGATCTTTTTAATGCGTTAGAAACTAAACTTGATAAGTTTTCTAATCATATATGGCCCATTTCGTGTTTCTTTATAGATTAATTATAATAAATTCTACAATCCATGTTATATGCTGCTGCCAGATGACAGGTATACCTTCTAATAAAAATTACATATTTATTCATAAAAGACTCCAAATTCAAATCTGCTTATTTCGTCAGAAAGTAGACTCAATAATTTTTTCAAACATATATGGCTCAATTCTTAATTTCTTGTATAAAATTTAAGATAATTTTCGTAATTCAACCCTAATGCTGCTACCATATAACCTACATATCTTTAAGTGAAAATTAGACAACTCTTAATAAAAAACTTGAATTCGACTTTCATTTATTTCATTAGAAAGTAGATTCAACATGCTTTCCAATGATATATAATAATCATAGCAATATCTAATCTCTTGATAAAAAAATATTATTTTAATCTACTGTTATAGATAATAACATTTTATTCAAAATTATAATTTCTCTTTTAACTTTTAAAAATCCAAATCCTCACTTTCAATCTTTAAAATCTATTCAATAATCATCATTAAATCTTAATAACATAAAGTAAATAAAATCCAATAATTTATCCAAATC